TCCCCAATACATTGTGTTTGACTAATGTATTGTATTGCATTATTGGTCTATTTATGATAACAATATTAGGCTCGTGAAATGTATATAATCCTCGTGAAATTAAGAAATAATGTTGTAAATAATCAGACTATCTTGATACAAAATGCACAATCAGTGCTAACAAAGCTGAAATCTTTGCGTGTTGATCCTGTTTATGAGGGGGATGTCTCGACGTAAGAATGACGTTGATCGATTTCCTGTTTATGAGGGGATGTCTCGACGTTGGAAATAGCATGTGATGGTTCTCAGCATTAAGTGTCAGTTTTGATGTTAAGTGCTACTTTAACCAGTGTTCTTTTGATTGTTTAACAGTTTAGATTTAATATTATCATACATTCGTTATACATAACAAAAATAAAGAATTAACCATGTTAAAAGTACCACATCATAAAACTAAGCTAGTTTCACAGCTTTCCGAGTATGCGACGCTTTTGAGCTTATCTAAGTAAAGTAGCATAAATATTCTTAAGTCGAATTAGAACATATAAGAGAATATATCATTTTTGACATTATTTATTAGTGAAAAATAACAGTTACAGACAAGTACATCCGATCTGTTTCTTGATCTGCGTGTATTTGATAGCCCCAAGAATGTCCATCATATTCGCGCATGTCTGTCTCGTCCATATATTATCCATATCAACCTTTGTCACATACCGTGATCTGTAAAAAAAATAACGAACTGTTATTTTAAATAGAACAAACATGTTATATTTATGTTGTGATTTCACCAGTAATTGTGAGATAGATTTTAATTCTAGGCCGTGGCAAAACTCTGACAACGACTTCTTTATATATTATTTTTTTGTTTCACTTTGTTACTGATTCTTACCAATGATTTGAAGGCCTTTGACAGGATGTCGTTAGATCATTAATATTTGCCGGGGTGGTACCTGACCCTGCGCTCAACTGAAAAGAAACAATGGGATGGGAATATGTAATAAATAGATATATACTGACACTAGCCGACACGATTTGCGTTTGGAACTGAGAACATTTCGAAATTCACAGCTCAAAAATATTGTTTTACCAAGTTAGATGTTATCATATTAAAAGTTTCGGATTATGAGGCGTCACTGGGGTAAATGATACCTTATAAATAAAACGTGTGATATTGTTAAAGAAATGATCTCCCTTTTAAATTTTTCTTATTCTTCAGAATTACATGAATGAGTTGGTACGTAGTTAAGTTAATTCAAACTGCGATGTTTTTCGGCTTCTTTGCATTAACTCTTTTGAACAGGAGAAGCATACACGAGTTAGATACCATATACCCTTAAGTTTGTGTGTGGAGAATGACGGAACTTACTAATGGTGGGTGGGAGGTATCCGAATCCTCCGTAGAATGCTGGTGGTGGTGGAGGAGGTCTGACGGGCATAGCCAGCTGGTTGATGAGTGGGGGGAGGAGCGCCAGGGAAGCCAGACCTCCGGGGGTGAAGGCGCCGAATGTCTGTGCGGATACACAGCCAAGTAGAGCTAGGGCGGCAAGAAGGGAGACAAACTTGTTCATGATTCGTGACTGCGAATGAAGAATGGAAGTTATGATAATAAATGAGATAATTAGCAAAAAAAGTCTGGAAGCGATGTTTTGCGTAACTTCGCGAGTCTCCGAGTTAGGATAAAACTGCCAGTCACAGGGCTGATAGGGGTAATACGCAAACAAAATTCACATGGGTACATTCACGGGATAACACAATACATTATGTGATAAATATATACGGTATATACAAATTTCAGCATTTACTTATCGTTTATGATGCATTTACACGAAAACAGAGAAAATGAAACATGCACGTCCCGATGTTCAGATTGAACACCATAAGGAGAAAATAATAAAAGACATTTTTATGAATAAAATAAGAGGAAATTATTTCATTAATTGCCCCAAGGATTCATCTAGATTTTGCTAGCAGTTAAGGCTAAACAAAGTAGTAAATATACATAACAATAACACATTATCCCAGTGAACAAAATCATCATACGAGTACTAACCTTGACCGGTGCAGGCAGGAGAAACACTGATGTCCACTAACTTTCTCACTTCCCTTATATAGGGAACTGCACAGTGGTCAAATTGTCTGGGGACGTGCTGCATGACAGGCACTGTCACCTGGTCAGACAACGGTGCACAGTTGCACCCCGTGTCAGCGTTATTGCGGCCATTCATCCGTCTCTTTTATTAGCATCATGTAAAAGTCCGCTGCGCAAACGGCCATTATTTATGTCCCCTCGCTTACTCGTTATTGGGGATAAATTGTCGGACAAGAATGTTGGTAACTGTATTAAAGCCGGCGACATTTTATGTATACATATACAGGAGTATTTTGTAATTTACACTCCAAAATACATGGTCATTCCGGGAAATACTGTCTAAAGCGCTACCAGTACTGTGTGTTCAGTCAACGGACATTTTAGTGACGTACTGCATGTAACTTAAGATATGTATATCACCGACAACTGTTACAAGTATATATATATAACATTTATACATATATACAAAGTATTTAATGTTATACGTATACACTAAGTATATGCTGTTAGTTAACATTGAAATGAACCCTTTAAACATTCATGATGGTATGCATGACAGCTTCTTTCAAACATGTTGCATGATGAGCGTTATTAATGCATTTAGTCCCAGAACAAGTACAGTGTTTAAACAACACTTCACCCAAATAAAGGTCAAATATATATGTTAGTATGGTATTTTTTTTATTCTCCGGAAGCGATAGAAGAGGAAATATAATACAATTCAATTTTGTAAATAAGCTGCTGATGCTAGATATGCACATTTCTAAATATCATTACGATGGTCTATGGGCAGATTCTTGATACAATATGTCAGTGAATCTATGGTATAATGTGCAACTATATCATCGAAGTTAAGAAATAGCAAACGCCTCTGGGGATCATGATGTTGTTAATCAAAATGAAAGTGGCAGGCGTCCTCACAAGGGTTACGGCACGAGCATTCCGAGTTTTTACACCTGTAACACCAAATAAGCCATATATAATAAAGGGAGCTGCCTTGGTAACGCAACTTTGTATTTTCTCCGTAACCATACTATTTTGAAATTTGTGGTTTCAATCTGGAGAAATAAAGTATTTAAATATTTTCAAAGAAGGAACAAATCTTATTTAGTGTAACACCAAAATGTCTGTGACAATCACTAAAATTGAAGACATCACTATCAAATTTCAATCGTTAGCATTTAAAATTAAAATCACATTTGCTTTAAGGGTAAAAGTTGACAATACTTGAAGATTTTAAGTTTAAAGCATCAGCTTTTTCACTGATTCATATCAAACATAGAAGGGGTCAATGAAAGAACTCTGAAGAGCTTGTTTTTGCTTTCATAACGCCAGTGTCGAAAATTGATTTGAAATGAATACTTTTGTTTTCTGAATCCATGATTGAGCTGATGCATCAAATATTTGTGACGAAGTACCAAAGAAACACATTTTTTTCTCCACAAGGGCTAACCCAATATTGTGATACATTTTGTTGGTTGATGTACGGCCGATGACTTGGCTTAAAACCGGACTGGTACCCGTGGAAAAAATAGTTGTGATAGTTTATAGATAATCCGTTCTGAAACTGCAGATGATAACAATAATATCGGTATATAATTAGATTGAAAATGCCTTTTCATGGATTAACAGAGGTTATTTTCTACTTACTCGGAGAAATACCAAAAAAAAACCTGACAAGTATTTCAAGTAGTTTTGAATCTGACGGAGTAGTATATATTAGACCTTATAATGACTTATTCATTCATGACAAGGATTTTTTTCTTGTTTTAAAATTTAAGGTTTTGCGTATATTTCCTATTATCATACTCTTAAAAGCTATTTTATTCTATTTTAAAGCAGGAATATCCGCGTTGCTATTTCACAAAATCGTTTGTAAAACGATTTTTGTTTTTGTTTTTTGTTTTAAATAGATGGTACATTATCGCCTGATTTCGTGTAATTTTCAGCGTTTTTACGATCAGTAGGAAAATATAGATCAGCTTATCCATGAGTATAAAATACAAAAAAAAAAATGACGAGCATGTTTCATCGTATTGTTCACCTTGTTGCATGAGACTTTAAACTATTCCTATGGTATTGTAGCCTTACAATCCGATTTTTATTTTATTGTACATGTAATGAGGATTATTTAGCGTGTATTGTTCCGAAAAGGTTTGCACAGATGTTTTCATCGATAAACAAACAAGGCCCATCTCTCATATGATTGGCTCAGCGTTTTCTGGAAAAAAATCAGCCGATTCTGCGATTGTTTTTTTTTCGGAAGAACTTCCTGAACTTGTGAACTAAATCCATGAAACGGTTCTAAGGGAACGGGGATATAGTTCAAAGAGTTTTTTTATAATGTATACATAAAGGATATACAAATTAATTAGTTTTATCTCTGAAAAGGGGCGCATTGGCCGAGTGATTAAGGCGTATGACTGTCTCGATCACTAGCCCTTCACCGCTGGATCGCTGGTTCGAGACCTAATTTGGGCAGTCACAAGGTACTGGCTACAGGTCAGAGTTTTTTTTCGGGGAATTCCGGCTTTCCTCCACCTCCAAAACCTGACACGTCCTTAAATGACCATAGGTGCAAAATACGTATATTGCAAACAAAATAAACCAAACCAAACAATGCAACTCTGAGGAAAAATAGCAAACTAAACTTTAATCTTTCGTGAGGCAGTAATACGATACAGCTTATACAGCAATGTGCTGTATTTCTTAACTTACAGACTTACAGGCTAATAAATACTATTAACAAAATATATTTCATCCCCTACCCCAAATAAAAAGCTATCAGAACTACCGTCTATGTAAATGATTGGTCATAAAGAGACGGTTACGTGCCATGGTTAATTGTCAGACATGAAATGCTCACCTGTATCAGGAGGTGTGACAAATGTCACGGTAGAATTTTCACTAGTTGTTTTTAATGTGTATTTATACACATTTATGTGGCATTTTCGTTCTTGATGAAGTTACCTCAAAATTAAATATTATATATTCTCTATTCATTTATTGTCTATGTTCATTTTTTTTTATCTTTTTCACAAAGGGTTGCTTCCAGTGTTGAAGGGGTAGACGTTGTTTGTACAAATGACGGGATAAGGTTCCATAACATTTTAACATTTAAAGCTTTCTTTAGGGATCCAAATGTCTACCATATGCATTTTGTGCAGATCTTTCATTATGTATGTCCACGTTTTGGAACTTGTTTTACCTCTACTCTAATACCATATATATGAACTTGTACTAAAAGTTCGGAGTGATCACTGACACAATATTATAAAATGGTGTTGCACGTTAGCATTCTACCTAATTATATAACTTGACCACAATTAAAAGATGCATATATGTTGTATAAATGACTGTAGCCCCCGGAAAGGGCACATCAGTGGGACTTTGTTTCAGTGATTTGGTCATCATAAAAGTTTTGCATCTTTAAAGGGGCTGATCGGGGAAAAAATGTCATATTTGCTAAAATGGCATACACATGTTTAAAATACTTTCTTATGAAATATACAGATTCAAATTTTGCTGAAATTCACTCCCTAAGAGTAAAAATTATAATTATATTAAAGAAATCCTAAATCGTCACCTGACAGTCTAAAACTCTCTATTGACCCTGATCAGTGATGTAATTTTACCGCACGCGCGTCATCAACAAGGCCAAATGTAAACATCGCGGCGAAAGAAAAAGATCCATGCAAAAGTCATGACAGGCACGAGGTATCAATACCGTTATATATAACAACAACATATAGGTAGGAATACTACACTTGCATCATACATAACCTTTGAAAACAATTATGCTGGGAAGATATCAACACAACCTGTAAATTATCAGTAACTTATGAACCTGGTTCTCTTATACTTTCTGCCAATCGCTTAGTCTAACTTTGTACTTGCAGACGCTGACACTGTGTTTCATTTGACATGAGTTTCTTCGATCAAATAGTTAGAATTGCTGACCTGCATAATCTGCTGGTTTTCATGAAAATTAAAGTTAACTGTGAAAATAAACGTTATTCTCCCAGAGAATAATTCTAGGACACTAGGAATACAAAGTAATGAAACAATTGTTGAAAAAATGCACTCCAAGAATTAAGAATGGTCTTGTAAAAACAGAGAGAAAACAAGAGTAGAAACTATTTCAGGAAACCAAAAATAAACACAACATTTTATATAGCATGCAATATGTTTACTCTAACCTACCAATAAGGCACATAACATGTGTATGCAAATATAAGGAATGTCATTTTGAAATGGGTTTTCTTATATTCCGTATTTGAATCATGTAACATATGTATTAGTTTGCAATTTTACATCTGTTCGACACACGTTTTGCAGGTAAAATATCAAACAATTAACTATATGTTAACAGCGACAAGACGGAGTGTTTACTGGACTGTAATTGTAATTATTACAAACTCTGTTTTTATTGACTAACAATTTGACAACCAGACAAAGCCTCTTTCATCAAAAAAAGTGATGACGTACTGTTACTCCCTCTGTTAGGTAATACTGATATGAAGGACAGGTGTCGCCTCCGGCTGTGCACACTACCAAACCGACCCATTTCATACACGTATATCAAGTGTGCTAGCTCTACGAACATACGAAATCAGTTAATTTTTTCATTTTTATTACAGTTGTAATTTCCTCATTTTAGTTGCTATTTTAGAATTATCATTTCTTAATTTAAAGAAGCAGAAGTCTAAAAGCGACATGTAACATGAATTCTTCCGCAAAACACTCTTAGACTTAGACCTGTAAGGATAATAAAGAACTCGAACGGCCTTTGGAATATAGATGATAAATGTTGCGTTCATAACAGTTCTACGTAACCAAATACATTTAGATAAGATCTTTAAGGCTTACGTGTGAACAATGATAAGTTGTAATATTGTAACTGCTTTGTTGCATAGATTTTCTTTTTAAAGCAGATAGGCAGAAATGGCAAAATAAAGAAACGCAAAATGTTACATCCCTAGCGGGCTTCATGCAATATGGATGTAACCGAATTGATTTCATACCGGCAAGAAAATTACAAAAACGCC